GCAACTTTCAGTGTAAGCAAGGACTCGCCAAATATGTATTTGTCATTGCCAGTTAAGATATCACTTATATTCGGTGTGATTATGATGATATAGTATTAAGAATTCTTGACTTAGGCCTGACATGACATCGACTTTGGCCGATATATAAGAGACTTTACCGTAATGAAGATATGAAGACCAAGATGTTGTGGTCTCTGGTATGGTCGCAGTCTCCTTTCGATTTATAGAAGTGGGTTGACCTCGTTGTAGTAACTTGGTCTTGTTCTCAGGGCGACTTAGTAGAACTCCGAAGTCGTCTGCCATAGTGGTTGTCATGATTCCCAGCATCAGACAGTGGACTTGGTACATTCTCAAACATTTCGCCGGCATCATAGTCGGCATCATCAGTGAGTTTTGCCATTCGCCGCATCAAGCTACGAACTCGTCAAAGAGACAAGTGAAGTCAATCCCTCGACAAACGTTCTGCCGAAAACTGTTACATTATCACTCCTCTTTTTTTCTTGGCCTATCAATCTACTCTTTACACTCTTTTCCCACTGCCGCCCTATCACAACTTCTCACTTGTTTACATTCCACTTGTCAAAATGTGTGCCATTTTGTGGCAAATCTAATGTGGCCTCATCACACTTGCTATTCACCTCGACCCCACTCTTTCGATCGGCTTTTTCGACTCGGGCGTCCAATGCGGATCTCTTCATTCTCTCGTAGATCCGTTCCTTATCTTTCTCGTTGACCGATTTCATTCGGTTCGAGTCCCTGTATTTCCCACTTCTATTTACCGCAATGATTTACTAAGGCATCACGAGGCCCTGGCCTTTGAAGAAGTTTCCTCCTCGACAGTCGACTACAGATAACAGCCTGCCTAGGCTCCGGGGTTGTAACTTGTCGTCAAGTTGCGCAAGAAACTGTTGCAAATTAGATTGAAGCGGGGCTAAAACTGAATTTCAGGCTGGATGAGAAAACTTTTTGATAGGCAAACCTATACATTTTTAATGGCATTATAAAACCTACGCATTTTATTAAGGGAGAAAATTGTATTATTATTTTGATACTATCAGTAAATTAGATATATGAGGTGTACTCATCATATTTCGTTTAGGGTGATTAAGGACTGTAAGTTGAATTTTCCCACAACTATATGAGTAGACCTTATGCTTTCGTTGCATTTCGCATAACCTCACTTCCCACAAGTTATTATCATTTATGCCAAAGTGGACTCATCATCAGTCTCAACCATGACAGTGCAGCGTGTAATATCGGCACGTTTCCAACTACGCCACATTGCCACTAGTGCTCTTGGGTCGCATGAGACATGTGCATTTCATCACTTTATAATAAATAGTGTGAGCATATCCCATTTATCTTAATCATAACTCTTTGTATCGTTTCAAGTGACATCGGACGGTAAAATTCTTGTTTAATTTTGGCCCTTAGAACGAATTTCAGTCTTATGATCTAGATTTTCTTTATTTCCTGGCTCGTGTCAGCATAAGTCTAGTTTGGCATAGTTTAGCAGCTCGGCAGTCTAAGTGAGTTTTCCCCTACATAGTGTAGCCTAAATGATTTTTTTCATTCCTAATAATTAAGCGTTAGATACTACCTTGGCTTAGCTATAACTCCCGATGGGATTTAAAACGTGTTCATGCGTAGCCTCTAGACACACATGACCTGGTTTCAATTCTTACCTGGAATTTTGAAGTGATCCGGACTTAGAAAAACTCAATTTGAGAGTGGACGAGTTCGATGGGCAAGAAAATTTGTGCATTCAGTCAAGTCCCCTCTTGAACAGTTGTGAATAGTCAAGATAGCAGTCCTATGCTCCCTTTGTCCATCTTCCCTGACAGGTTTCCTCGATGACTATTCTCTCAAAAAGTCCCACGAGTATGATACGGAATCTAATCTGGCTATGATGGGGAGATTTTAATTTCGTATAAAAGTGTATGAAGAAGATATTCGATTGTCGACCTGATCAGAAGAGGACGATTGATTCCCGTTGGACTGTAGCCGTTTGGCTTTAATAGAACGTTTACTTCGACGCAATCCACGAGACATCTGCCCTCGTTTCCGATGAAAACATGCTTAGCTTTCATCCATCATATGAAGAATCTCATCATACCTGGAACTCATTCTTGTAATGAGATGTAAGTCTTAAGTTACGATAAGAGTGTCAGTGTGTCTGTGTGTTTGAGTCTTATTGACCTAGTGGTAAAGGGAGACCTTAACAATTTTGAGTTCCAGTTCTGAGGATGTACATGATGGACGAAAGCTCAGTTTGTTTTCACTAGAAACGAGGGAGGATGTCTCGTGAACTACGTCAGACTTGAACGTCGTAGTAAAGCCAAACGTCTGCAATACGACAGTAACCGGCCATCCTCCTATAGTGAGATTTTCCCTCAAATCTCTTCTTCATGCACTTTCATACGAAATGAAAGTATCTCCAACAATGTCTTCACTGGAGATTTAGCGAAACCAAGTTACTCTTATTATCTATACTATGGCTAGGACAGCATCTCGATGGGTTTGTCTATTATGTTGTCACGTCTAAGCGAATCAAACGTTTGGCTTTTCATTGAATAAAATCGTAAACAAAGGTTGTTTGACCTTGTTTTTGCAACTTGGTCATATTGGTAGGAAGACTTAGAGGAACGCACCTTGTCCTGAGTCCATTGTATGCATCATCCTTTCCAAAATCGGACCGTAGACGTAGTACATTCTCAGACATTTCGCCGGCATCGTCAGTGAGTCTTGCCATTCTTAGCACCACACA